CAGAATTCTGAGCCAAGAAGCAAATTAAAGCGCATGAGTTCTCTGAAAAAAAAGAAGAAAAGAAGTTCCAGAAGCCTTTCTTTCCAGGAAGAGCACCGTAAAGTATATATATTCCTCATGTTCCTCCGCATAAAAAAGTCGATATTTGATTTCGACCTCAAACATAGGTGAAAATTGCTTGCGATTCAAAATCTTGTGAAAGTATAATATCTCCATTATTTGTCAATATGCTGCATAAAAGTAGGCATGAGATTTACACCCTCGAATTTTTCAGCATAGAATTTAGGTAAAAACTTATCCCCATTTCAAATGCGTGCCCAATTTTTAATGACTAAATAATTGAAAATTTCGAAAATAAAATACATCTCAACTTGAATTTCGACTGAGATTGAACCTGAATCCAATTTATGCTCGAAATTTGTTATTTCAATGGTCATACAATTTCCATTAGACTCGAGTATGATGTATACACATGAACTAAAATTAAAAAAAAATTGTATACTATGTCGTGTAAACTCAATGTTTTCTCTTACTTTAAAGACGGTACACGTGGTGCTTGATTAAATACGGTATAAAGTATAAACAAAATTCTACCAACACTGATTTGGTCTTAGAGTCTGGAAAATTCTACCATCTTGAAATACAGTATATCAAATTCTCATATTTGGTTCAAGATGAAAGGACAAATGTTTTGCTTCTGGCAAGCCTCAATTTTGTGCAATTAAGATCCTGATGTTTTTGAGGTGAGGCTTAATGATGGAGGAAGTGACCTGAATAATGCATTTCAAAAAATGCGGAGGAATATGAAGAATAGTTTCATGTTAAAGAGAGAATTGTCGTTCTTGAGGTTTTAGTTGAATAGAAGCAAGGCTGCTATAAATGTTTGAACGCAACTTAAATTAAGAAGCAATTATTTCCGTCCATGCCAATTTGCGGGGATGAATTCATATCATAGTTGAGCTACTTCAAAATATTTATCCTTATCTCAAATCATTGTCAAATTTTAATCCAAAAAATCTGTTTTTTCTGTTCGTTTAATCCTTCGGAAAATATGTGGTAACACGAGTATGTAGACTGCTTGCATCACACTGTGAAAGAAATCCCAAGATAATAATTTTGAGCTCAGAATACGAAAGACCCCGTGTTTATATTAGAGGAAAAGTAGGGATAAGATGCCAAGTACAGTATTTATTTGCCTCGAGGTTTTGTTTACAAGAATACATAAACAAACCAAATTTTGGCTGTGTTCAATATGGAAAAAAATGATAAAAGGGGAGATGGAAAGGAACGCGTATAGTTGGTGGCGTGGTCGAGTCATTAAGTTTTTTGTTTTTTGTTACGTTTGAGAAAGAAAGTTAGATTTATTTTTTGTCCATTCCTTTTGATTTTTGTTGACAAGTGAAAAATATGCCTGGCAACATGTGTGCTGAGATCGCATGTATGTCGAGAATTCGCCTCGGAACCGCGACGACGATCCCACTCGACATCGATACACTCATGAACGACTTGGACAATTTATTATTGATTATTTCGGACGAAGCTATGTGGTTTTATTTTTTGATTCCCGACGACTTCTGTGCATGACGTGACAATAAAAAAAATGTTTACGGACGACAAATAATCAGTGACTTTCGACGACACATATTCTTTCAACCTCATCAGAAAAATTATTACGGAAGTGTTGATTAATCTGTATCTGTTCGCGCATTGAGAAAATCTTAATTATTTTATCACAGTAATTCTCGATTGCCAAAATCATCAAAGAAACATCACCGCTCTTTCAGTAACTAGAAATTTATTTAAAAAAAAGTAACGCTATACAATAAGGGCTTTATTTCCTCGTTCCCCCCTTTGAAAGCATTTTAAGACGATCATCGCTTAAGAAGCAAAGAAAGGTTTCCATTCTGGATTTTGTGAATCCAGTGATTTTGCATCAAAGTTTAAAAATTCCGGATTTAGTCTTCGCTAATGCAAGTTTTCGATTCCCATATAAATATTCAAGGACTGGATTGAATAAATAAGAACAGCTGGTTTTTAAATACGTGTGCAAGTACATATTTTGGCGATAGAGCTCTGATTATCTGGGTGTGTGCCTGTGTCAAGTTGTGTTCCTTTGTCAAGTTGATAAAATGTCTCGGTCAAATCTGATGGAAATTTCTTACACGGAGAAAGAAAATCGATTCAATAATTATCTGACGTATTGCAGTGCTAATATTTCCTCAAATCTGAAAAATACATCAGCAAAATGAAACGTTTAACTGAAATTCTTAAAATTGCACTAAAAGCACAAAAAATCCAGGGATTCAACTACGAAAAGAAAAAAAGATACGAGGATCCGTCAACATTTTAATGAAATACGATTCGAAGTTTCCTGGAGAAAATTTCCCAAAATAATATCTCTGTTTCCGACGAATGACTTGAATAGATGAGCACTCGTGTTTAAAAGCGCACGTAATAAAAGCCCAGATAATTTGAGCTTTGTATTGTTCTTATGCTCGAAGCGTATACTGTATAGTCTTTAAAAAAATATCCATGGTTAGGCTTGAAACAATGTACGTTTTAAAATGAAAAATTCATCATTGGTGGTATCAATTGTTAATCCGTCAAATTCCGAATCGAACAGGTACGTGGCGAGCGACAGCGGATCCCCTGAACACACCTTCACCATTTCCATGGTGGACTGCGGCACGTCGACCTACGAAGAAAGCGGAACCCTCGGGTTCGAGAACACGATCATCATTCAAATGGAGGAAATCGTCCAGGAAGCCTGGGACACTGCTCGCCGAATTTCCTGCGACTGGAAATCCGCCTTCCAAAAGGAAATCGCCTTCAACCCTATCCAAGTCGGCATGCTCAACGTGGAAGAAGTCCGTTTCTCCGGCGACAACATCGAGTGTTGGATGGACATCAAACGGGGCCCTGGGCCATTCGGATCCTCTGTCGACGGGATCCTCGAGATCGGAGAAGAACTCACTGTCGTGGTCTACGCTGCTGACGGGGGCTCGAATTTCGACGTGTTGGTCAAGAACTGCTTCGCTTACGACACCACAGACTATCTGAACCCCGAGACCACCAAGTTGCCTCTGATCGATGCTCGTGGATGCCTGCTGAAGGAAAAGCTCATGGGGTATTTCAGGAGGACCTACGACACCCGGGAAACCGGGGCTTCGATCATAGCCTACGCCAAACTCAACGCATTCAAATTCCCCGATAAAATGGGCGTTTACTTGACCTGCGACGTCGAGCTTTGCAAGGGGGGCTGCAGAGAATTCTGCGAAGATCCCGGGTATCCCTCAGAGCCAGAAGGTTTGTTGTTGTTGCCAGACGCGACACCCAGAACCGTCGTGACGACGACGACGCAATTCGCCTGTCGACCGGGTTCCCTGGACCCGCGTTGCACAACGTTTCCCCCGGTCACTTCGCCGCCGGAATTCATTTGCAGACCGGGTTCTTTGGACCCACGATGCCCCCCGGAATGTTCAGAAGGATCCCTGGACCCGAGGTGTCCCGAAGTGGTGACAGAGTTCATTTGCAGACCGGGTTCACTGGATCCTAGGTGTCCTCCGGACTGTTTCGAGGGTTCGAACGACCCGCGATGTCCGCCACCGACAACCCCGGGTTTCGTGTGCAGACCGGGTTCTTTGGATCCCAGGTGTCCTCCGGATTGCTACGACGGGGCACTTGACCCGAGATGCCCTCAGGCAGCAGTGACCACGACAACGCAGAGGCAGATCATCGTCACTGAATTCATCTGCAGGCCGGGTTCTTTGGACCCGAGGTGCCCACAACCCGTGCCGACTGCTGAGACCCAATTTGTTTGCCGACCGGGTTCAACTGACCCGAGATGCGTTCAGCCCACGAATCCTCCAGTTCTGGTCACAGAGTTTGTTTGCAGGCCGGGTTCCTTGGATCCCAGGTGCGTCCAGCCCACAAATCCTCCGCAAGTAACTCAATTCGTGTGCAGACCTGGATCCCTGGACCCAAGATGCGTCCAGCCAACGAACCCACCTCCAGTGACTCAATTCGTGTGCAGACCTGGATCCCTGGACCCAAGATGCGTCCAGCCAACGAACCCACCTCCAGTGACTCAATTCGTGTGTCGTCCGGGGTCTCAGGACCCAAGATGCGTCCAGCCCACGAGGCCACCACCCCCACGGGTTCAGCCAGAACAATACCAGCCACAGCAGCAGCAGCACCACCAACAACAACAACAACCCCAAGGAGGTGGACATTACGGCAACAAGGATCCCATGTACCATTCCTTCCACAAGTGGATGTACGAGCCTTCGCCGAGTAGATTCACCAAGCGAATGGTTGCCAGCACTGGCGGGAATGTGCGACGGAAACGACAGGTCATCAGCGGGGATGTTAGGAATGCGACGATTCAGTTCACGCACGGATTCGCGGTTTTGTCCGTCGGGGACTTGGCCGGTGTCGAGGGAGACTCCGTGCACTTGTTTCAGAATTTGCGGAATCCGAACCACGTCTGCGTCCCGCCGATTTCATTGGCTCTCGCTCTGGCCTTTTGCGTGACTATCGTGCTCGTGGCTTTCTCTTTGGCTGCCATTCAGTTCGTCAAAGTGAGGAACCTGCGAGAGAAAGTTTGAACAGCAAGTCTGCGCAACCGATATTCCCGCAAAAAAATGTGTGCATAGTGTAAAAAAGGAAATTTCAGCAGGATACGGTATACGTTTCGACATATTCGTGGAGGCCAGGCCAGGGAATAGGTGGCGCCTCAGCACCAAACCCTCGGGTTTATTCTGTTCGACTAAATATTCAGGAGCTGCGAGGGTTGGTCCAAAAGTTCTGGGGAAATTATTCTTTTGATGATGCAGCGGAGTTTCAAGCGTTTCAAAAATAAATTTATACTCGCGTAGCCCCGGCAATTGGCAGCATTTCGGTGCTGTTCAGTATTCATTCTCCGCAAATCTCAGTTCATATTTTTTAATGTGATAACTCCAACGATCAGAACGCTTGCCAAAAAAATCGAGTTCTGTGAAATGGTTAGGGACCCCAGTCACTTCTGGTTGTTTTCGACTGTGAAGAACGACCTGAAAGGAATTGGGTTCGAGGCCAGCGAAAACCTCGTTTTGGCCGTAAAATAACACCCAATCCAACTGATGGAATTCAATTTTTGGATCGTTGGATTTATTATGCGATGAAAAAGTAAAATTTGCAATTATTGAAACTCCGTTGAATCTATTTCAAAGAGTCTCAAAAATCATGAACCAACACTGGCATGTTCCTTTTTTCATGCGAGAAAATAAGTACAGTACTGAAAAGTCGTTGACTAAAATGAGGACAACATTGGTACATGAAGACATTGTGAAGGCAGGTGTTCTTCTCCCGCAACGAAAGCTGAGGCATCGCAGTATTGGGGAAGGCTTGCTCAAAATCTTTCAGTTTTTATTTCGGTGGAAAGCATCATTTTATATTTTTAAATTGTGCGAAAGCTTTGGCCAACTGAACATTACCTGACCAGTGCAATCTTGGAGGGCTGTACTGTATAGGCGATCCACATTTGCCCCTGAGATGCTTTTTTTTGTGGCTGAAAAGAAATGAGAATTGCTCAAATGTTTTCTACATCAGGGAAAAAAAATCGAGATATATAGTCAATTGGGATTGGGTTTTTTTCTTTCGCAAGGTTGGCATTTACTTTCATCGACAGAGAACAATGTGCCAATTGAGAGTGGTCTGACCCGAAAAAAATAAAATAAATGAACAGTGGAGGCATTATTTCCTTTATTGATGGCTGTAGAGGTTGTGGGGTTTTCAGCATGCTCATGGCCTTTCGTTCATGGGTTCAGGGTTCCGGTCATGATTACCGCCATTCTAAGGTGGAGGGATTTTTTTTCTTGTGGGTGAAATGTGTGCAAAAATGATGGTTGATCTGTGCTATTCATCAGGTTTCTGCAGCCTGACTCCGGCAGGTCCGAGTATACCTTCCTGGTGCCCACAGACGAAACCTGTGGGTCAGTGATAGAAGGTGAAGGAGACTCCAAGGTCATCGCCAACACACTCATTTTTCAAATGGACCCGATTTTTCAGGTTAGTTAATTTTCAGCCAGTACAAGCGCAATGCAAAAACTGACATTTGGTTTTAAAAAAAAACATGTTCTCAGGAAATCTGGGATGCCGCCAGAAAGATCTCTTGCGTGTGGACGGGTGAACAAGAAAAACAGCTGAAATTCCTGCCCATTCAAGTCGGTATGCTGGCAGTTGAGCACTTGAAATTCAGCGGAGATGAAATCGACTGCTGGATGGACATTCAGCGAGGACAGTACCCAAATGTGAGCCATAGAAAATGAGAAACACCGTCATTTTCACTCGAGTCAACAAATTCATTTCTTTTAAAGACTTCACCTGTGAACGGGATTGTGGAAATTGGAGAGACATTGAGTTTGATCATTTATGTGAGAGACAGTGGAAGCAATTTTGACCTCAGAGTCAAGGATTGTTGGGCATACAATAATGACCAATACGATGACCCATCTACAACCAGGTTACAGCTCACAGATTCTGAAGGATGCCCACGGTATGTAGAAATTATGATGCATTGAAAGGGTGAAGTGAATGAATTTATCCATTTGAATCCTTTGATCCTTCAGGAAAACCAAGTTGATCAATTATTGGAGGAGAACATTTGATACTGGAAACAGCGGTGCATCTGTGATTGCTTATACCAACGTCAGTGCATTCAAGTTCCCTGACAAAAGCGATGTTTACATGACGTGCAACATTGAGGTAGAGTTCTTTACTCATTTACTCCATTGAAATAGTATTGACACTTATTAAATTCGAGATTGCAGAAATTAATTCATAGTAAAAACGTTGAAATTTATGGACATATTGAAACAGTAACCAAGAAGAATAGTTTCGAAAGAAAAAAAGCTTTTTCCAGATTACACACAACATCATTCCTTCCAAATCTGCTTCACAGGTTTGCAAAGGGCTGTGCGAGAGACGGTGCCCAGGAGAACCATCCATACCCATTGGAGAACTCATTACAGTTCCACCAACTGTGAGACCAATAACCACAACAAGACAACCCACTACCTTGTTTGTGTGTGCACCTGGATCAAGTGACCCAAGATGCCCACCAAACTGCTTTCCAGGATCAAATGACTTCAGATGCCCTCAGACGACAACTCCAAGAACTACCATAACAACACTATTTGCTTGCAGACCAGGATCTTTGGACCCCAGGTGTCCACCAGAATGCTTTCCAGGAAACACTGATCCAAGATGTCCAAGACCTACCAGTGCAAGACCACCTACAACAACTCAATTTGTATGCAGACCAGGAAGCTTGGATCCAAGATGTCCTCCAGATTGTTATCCAGGAGCAACTGACCCAAGATGTCCAAAGCCAACAACTACAAGACCTACTACAACAACTCAATTCATATGCAGACCAGGAAGCTTGGATCCAAGATGTCCACCAAACTGCTTTCCAGGATCAACAGACCCAAGATGCCCAAGGCCAACAACTACAAGACCTCCAACAACAACTCAGTTTGTGTGCAGACCAGGAAGCTTGGATCCAAGATGTCCTCCAAACTGTTATCCAGGAGCAACTGATCCAAGATGTCCAAAGCCAACCACTACAAGGCCTCCTACAACTACTGAGTTTGTGTGCAGACCAGGTAGTCTGGATCCAAGATGTCCTCCAGACTGTTATCCAGGAGCAACGGACCCAAGATGCCCAAGGCCTACAACCACTCGACCTCCCACAACAACTCAATTTGTATGCAGACCAGGAAGCTTGGATCCAAGATGTCCTCCAAATTGTTATCCAGGAGCAACTGATCCAAGATGTCCCAAGCCAACAACTACAAGGCCTCCTACTACTACTCAGTTTGTGTGCAGACCAGGAAGCTTGGATCCAAGATGTCCTCCAAATTGTTATCCAGGAGCACCTGATCCAAGATGTCCTAAACCAACCACCACAAGACCTCCTACCACAACTCAGTTTGTGTGCAGACCAGGTAGTCTGGATCCAAGATGTCCTCCAGACTGTTATCCAGGAGCAACTGATCCAAGATGTCCAAAGCCAACAACTACTAGACCTCCCACAACACAGTTTGTGTGCAGGCCAGGTAGCTTGGATCCAAGATGTCCTCCCAACTGCTTTCCAGGAGCAACAGACCCAAGATGTCCCAAGCCAACAACTACAAGACCTCCAACAACAACTCAGTTTGTGTGCAGACCAGGAAGCTTGGATCCAAGATGTCCTCCAAATTGTTATCCAGGAGCACCTGATCCAAGATGTCCTAAACCAACCACCACAAGACCTCCTACCACAACTCAGTTTGTGTGCAGACCAGGTAGTCTGGATCCAAGATGTCCTCCAGACTGTTATCCAGGAGCAACTGATCCAAGATGTCCAAAGCCAACAACTACTAGACCTCCCACCACAACTCAGTTTGTGTGCAGACCAGGAAGCCTGGATCCAAGATGTCCTCCAAATTGTTATCCAGGAGCACCTGATCCAAGATGTCCTAAACCAACCACCACAAGACCTCCTACCACAACTCAGTTTGTGTGCAGACCAGGCAGTCTGGATCCAAGATGTCCTCCAGACTGTTATCCAGGAGCAACTGATCCAAGATGTCCAAAGCCAACAACTACTAGACCTCCTACCACAACTCAGTTTGTGTGCAGACCAGGAAGCCTGGATCCAAGATGTCCTCCAAACTGTTATCCAGGAGCAACTGATCCAAGATGTCCTAAGCCAACAACTACCAGACCTCCCACAACAACACAGTTTGTGTGCAGACCTGGTAGCTTGGATCCAAGATGTCCTCCCAACTGCTTTCCAGGAGCAACAGATCCAAGATGTCCTAAGCCAACAACTACTAGACCTCCTACCACAACTCAGTTTGTGTGCAGACCAGGAAGCCTGGATCCAAGATGTCCTCCAAACTGTTATCCAGGAGCAACTGATCCAAGATGTCCTAAGCCAACAACTACTAGACCTCCCACAACAACACAGTTTGTGTGCAGACCAGGTAGCTTGGATCCAAGATGTCCTCCCAACTGCTTCCCAGGAGCAACTGATCCAAGATGTCCTAAGCCAACAACTACTAGACCTCCTACCACAACTCAGTTTGTGTGCAGACCAGGTAGCTTGGATCCAAGATGTCCTCCAAACTGTTATCCAGGAGCAACTGACCCAAGATGTCCAAAACCAACAACTACTAGACCTCCTACCACAACCCAGTTTGTGTGCAGACCAGGTAGTCTGGATTCAAGATGTCCTCCAGACTGTTATCCAGGATCCTCCCAACTGCTTTCCAGGAGCAACTGATCCAAGATGTCCAAAACCAACAACTACTAGACCTCCTACCACAACCCAGTTTGTGTGCAGACCAGGTAGTCTGGATTCAAGATGTCCTCCAGACTGTTATCCAGGAGCAACTGATCCAAGATGTCCAAAGCCAACAACTACTAGACCCCCTACCACAACTCAGTTTGTGTGCAGACCAGGTAGTCTGGATCCAAGATGTCCTCCCAACTGCTTTCCAGGAGCAACAGACCCAAGATGTCCCAAGCCAACAACTACAAGACCTCCAACAACAACTCAGTTTGTGTGCAGACCAGGAAGCCTGGATCCAAGATGTCCTCCAGACTGTTATCCAGGAGCAACTGATCCAAGATGTCCAAAGCCAACAACTACTAGACCTCCTACCACAACTCAGTTTGTATGCAGACCAGGAAGCTTGGATCCAAGATGTCCTCCAAACTGTTATCCAGGAGCAACTGATCCAAGATGTCCCAAGCCAACAACTACAAGGCCTCCTACAACAACTCAGTTTGTGTGCAGACCAGGTAGCTTGGATCCAAGATGTCCTCCCAACTGCTTCCCAGGAGCAACTGATCCAAGATGTCCCAAGCCAACAACTACAAGGCCTCCTACAACAACTCAGTTTGTGTGCAGACCAGGAAGCCTGGATCCAAGATGTCCTCCCAACTGCTTCCCAGGAGCAACTGATCCAAGATGTCCTAAGCCAACAACTACTAGACCTCCCACAACAACACAGTTTGTGTGCAGACCAGGTAGCTTGGATCCAAGATGTCCTCCAAATTGTTATCCAGGAGCAACTGACCCAAGATGTCCTAAACCGACAACCACAAGACCTCCAACCACAACCCAGTTTGTATGCAGACCAGGTAGCTTGGATCCAAGATGTCCTCCAGACTGTTATCCAGGAGCAACTGATCCAAGATGTCCAAAGCCAACAACTACAAGGCCTCCTACAACTACTCAGTTTGTGTGCAGACCGGGAAGCTTGGATCCAAGATGTCCTCCAAACTGTTATCCAGGAGCAACTGATCCAAGATGTCCTAAGCCAACCACAACTAGACCCCCCACAACTACTATTTTTGTATGCCGACCTAATTCTTTGGATCCAAGATGTCCTCCGGACTGTTATCCTGGTTCAAGGGACCCCAGATGTCCTCAAACAACAACTGTATCCACTACCACTCAATTTGTGTGCAGACCAGGAAGCCTTGATCCAAGATGCCCACCTGAGTGTTATCCAGGTGCAACTGACCCAAGATGTCCTAAGCCAACAACCACTAGACCTTCCACAACCACTCAGTTTGTATGCAGACCAGGTAGCCTTGATCCAAGATGTCCTCCAAATTGTTATCCAGGAGCAACTGATCCAAGATGTCCTAAACCAACAACCACAAGACCTCCTACCACAACCCAGTTTGTATGCAGACCAGGTAGCTTGGATCAAAGATGTCCTCCAGACTGTTATCCAGGAGCAACTGATCCAAGATGTCCAAGGCCTACAACTACAAGACCTCCTATCACAACTCAGTTTGTGTGCAGACCAGGTAGCCTGGATCCAAGATGTCCTCCAGACTGTTATCCAGGAGCAACTGACCCAAGATGCCCAAAGCCTACAACTACAAGACCTCCTACCACAACTCAGTTTGTATGCAGACCAGGCAGCCTGGATCCAAGATGTCCTCCAAACTGTTATCCAGGAGCAACTGATCCAAGATGTCCTAAACCAACAACCACAAGACCTCCTACCACAACCCAGTTTGTTTGCAGACCAGGAAGTCTGGATCCAAGATGTCCTCCAGACTGTTATCCAGGAGCAACTGACCCAAGATGTCCTAAGCCAACAACTACAAGGCCTCCTACAACAACTCAATTTGTGTGCAGACCAGGAAGCCTGGATCCAAGGTGTCCTCCAGACTGTTATCTGGGAGCAACTGATCCAAGATGTCCAAAGCCAACAACTACTAGACCTCCCACAACAACACAGTTTGTGTGCAGACCAGGTAGTTTGGATCCAAGATGTCCTCCCAACTGCTTTCCAGGAGCAACAGATCCAAGATGTCCAAAGCCAACAACTACTAGACCTCCTACCACAACTCAGTTTGTGTGCAGACCAGGTAGTCTGGATCCAAGATGTCCTCCAAATTGTTATCCAGGAGCAACTGATCCAAGATGTCCTAAACCAACAACCACAAGACCACCAACAACAACACAGTTTGTGTGCAGACCAGGAAGCCTTGATCCAAGATGTCCTCCTGATTGCTATCCAGGAAACACAGACCCTAGGTGCCCAAGGCCCACAACAACAAGGCCAACCACCACAACGCAGTTTGTGTGCAGACCAGGAAGCCTTGATCCAAGGTGCCCTCCCAATTGCTTCCCAGGAGCAATTGATCCAAGATGTCCTAGACCAACAGCAACCCAAGCACCAATCACAACCCAATTTTTATGCAGACAAGGAAGCCTTGATCCAAGGTGCCCTCCTGATTGTTCCCCAGGTTCAATTGATCCAAGATGCCCAAGTACCACAGTGCGCCCTGAAGGATTTGATGAGTCTAGGGATTGTGTACCAGGATCATCTGATCCACGGTGTGCTGCTATACTCTGTTTCCCTGGGTCTACAAATCCCATTTGTCAGTCAACATCTTCTGTGAGGCCAATAACTGTTCCCACAAGACCACCTGCCACTGCAGAACCTGGTGATTATCATGGGGTTGGAAAGGATCCCAGGTATCATGCATTTCACAGATGTGAGTTACCTTCAGATTTCCCCTCTGCAAATATTTCAAAAGTGTGGTGTTTTTGTGCTTCATTTTTAGAAGTAATGTTTGAAAAATATGTTTGATATTCATGTTTAATTCATCTGCAGGGCTTTACGAAGCTGCTCCAAAACGTGTTGTTAGCAACAATCCTGGCTCATTTGTAAGGAGGGGCAAGCGTTCTGCTGACATAAGTGGTGATCAACATTTGGGTATAGAAGAAATGACTTCAGAAGAAATCATTGAAAGTGATTCCAGGCTGATGTCTTCAAACTCTAGTGTTGCCTTGGCAGGCATGGGGTTGATGTCTGTTGTTCTGATTGCTGCTCTTGCATTCTTCATTTCTGGTGCAAACCACCAGAAAGGAAAAATTTACCTTCAAACTGTTTCAACTGCACAATTATGATCAATGGGTATTTTTCTCTGTTGAACTGTCAACTCCAACCTGAAGAAAGCTGTTTTTTCTTTGGTTGCCAAATTCTGACAAAAAGTCAAAATAGTAGAATGCATTCCATTTTTCCAAGTATATTTTTTGTCATATCTGAAAGCGCAGAAAATTTTTCTCAGAATTTTGAAATGTTGATTGGGGATAAGAGCAATTGCTGAAATCTAGTCTTGTTTTCTTCCCTTGGGTTTTTACTCCCCATCCTGGTTCAAATGAAGCTCTAAGTATCACAAGAACTGCACATATGTGTGTGTGTAAATATTCTGAAATTTTAATTTTTTGAAAATTTTGATGCATAACTTTTAAATGTTGCTATGCCCCAGGAAAGAAAAAAGGGGCCCAATCGAGACAAAAAAGTGGCATACGCGTTTGGTAATATTTTTTATCGGCCCAGAAAAGTAACAGGTGATCTTGATCAGCCATATTACGTATGCTTTGCTTTCCTATACTCGTTGAATTTTGCCTCAATTCTGGCTTGAAATCATTTCATCAAGTGACGATGCAGTATTCCAAAAGTCTTTCATGTTTCAATGTACATATTTACAGTGATTGGTACGGAAATGGTCTGCCATTATTTGTAAGAAATCTTTTTTTGTGTGAATTTTTTTGTTTGTTTGTGGATCAGTCACGGAGAAGATGATGTGTGGCGCCGGGATATAATGCATGTTGGGGTTATTTGTTTGTGCTCGCGCACTTCTTGTGTTTCATTCAGTTGAAATCAACTGGCTCATTGCTCAACAGTTTTTTCAGTCATGAAATCTTTTTTCATGATAGCAAGAAACAAATACCCAGCAACAGCTAATTCAGAGGAGCTTGGAGGTATTCATTGTAAAAATGCTACCAAATACAGACTGTCAAACTTATTCCAACATTGAGATCACACTTGTTCCAACATTGAGATCAAACTTGTTCCAACTCACAATTCATCCTTGAGGAAATTCATTACTGGAATGGGTATCCATTTCTCCATGAAAATTTATTTGAGGATAACTAATTCCTTCGCAGCCCAGGGCAATAACAAATATTTACTCATTCAATAATTTGAAAAATTGATTATAATTTAATGAGTGGTATTATCAGCATGGCAAACACAGCATTAAAAAAATGAGACTAAGGGGAAGGATGTAAAATTCATTATTATTTTTGTTTTTTCAGATAGGTTGTTAGTGTTTTCATCAAAGTTTATCAGTATTGCTCTCACCGTTTACATAATTAATGGGCTAAACAGGAGAAAAATATTTCCTCCTTGGCAGGGGATTACGGAATCACTCAAGAATTTTTCTTCTAGTATCAATTTTTCAGGCTTCAAAGAGAAGAACAAATTCTGTTGCTGATGAAGGAAACTTTTCTATACGATATAGCCACTAAAATCTCGCGCAATCGTTTCATGAATGGCAATAACCCATACGTGTAAGCAGGTTGCATTTTCTTCAGAAACCACAAATTGTAAATATTAGGCACATCAATATAACTTCAACCACAAAACTCATCAACTGAAGGAATGAGGACAATGTAGATATTTTTAACACGTTTTGGAGCAATACTGATAAACTTTGATGAAAACACTAACAACCTATCTGAAAAAACAAAAATAATAATGAATTTTACATCCTTCCCCTTAGTCTCATTTTTTTAATGCTGTGTTTGCCATGCTGACAAAAAGCAAAAAATAACCTTAAATGTGGTGCGCATGGAGATTGTTGGGAAGAAGTGAAATACAAATGAAATAGATGCACACCACGTTTAAGGTTATTTTTTGCTTTTTGAAAATGTGGTTTTTTAGATTAATTTTTTAATCTGCTAAATTTTTTTTTGCTGTCCATTTCATGAGCTAAGTGATTCAATTTGGGGAGTTTATTTTTTGGAATGTTGATTGTTTGAGTTACCAGCATACTCTTCTTGTAAGCAGCAGTTCGCGCGTTTAAAAAAAAATGATGGAATTTTCACGAAGCTCCAGAAGTTAGCTTTTCACTGTAATACAGTAACACTGCAAGAAGCTTCGCATTCGTCATCGAAACCACAAATGAGGTCAAATGTTGTCCTGGTCTCGTTTTTCGCTTGCATCGCAAAAAAGGAAAATCAGGACGTGCTTTCAGATACAGCGTATCAATTTTTTTTTCTACGACCGAATACCTGGACTGACAGCTCAGGTTATTGAGTATACGTACTACAGCTACAGCGTACACATTCCTGCGGCTGATTATTCCCGCCATGTTACCTTATTATGACGACGATTACCACCCAGAAATGTGCATTGAAACCACGAGGAAGTCGTAGAACTGGTTACTTTTATTCTGGCAGCAAATACGAGTCCAAAATGTACGTAAACGGCATATCTTTCGGCTTCGTTGAAAAAGTCAGACTCCGTCATATTTTCGAAGCAAATGGCTCAGAATTCGGGCCTTTAAGGGGTGTAACTTGCGCCAGTTGTAAACGAGACTGCAAGAGTTACTCCATTTACTCAAATAGAAAACGCAGTCGATTGTAAAATGCTTGAATTATTATTTAGAAGTTAGAATCATTTTATAAATGAACAGAGAGCTTTATTTTCCACTTTTCAGCATTTACGAAGTTATTTTACTTCATGATATTCTGTTGACCAAAATCACGCCCATAAATCGAGCACATACGAGTAAATATCATATAGGACACCACCATATGGACACCCTAGATTTTGAAAAAAAAAATTCCTCTCAAGGAAAATTGACTAGTTATAATTTTAAAGGAACTATATGCGGCAGAAGTGTAGCAACAAGAAATCATTGTCTCCCCATGTGTGTCTCCATGCTGCAGAACAGTAAATTGTTTACTTGAGGACACGTAAACCACCTCATGAGGCAACAGTGTATAATGTTGAATTAAAATATGATTTCCACGTCGAAGGGTGTCGCGTATTTTCCAAGGGCCAAATGATGCGATTTTCCACGGCAACCTTTCCGCTGCACTTGTTCAGTGCAGGGATTCCTGGCACGCACCGCGTGAAAAATTCAAAGTCGCGCGTGAATTATGCACGGGACCGGCCCATGCATTTTGCAGGGACGTCGTCGAGCACGGGTTTGTCGCTAACGACCCAGACAACCAACAAGCTATTCCTGCTGCCGAATTCCCGCGACTGTAGCACGATTTCATGGACGCCTCCGAAAAGCAAATAAATCGTGATTTATTTCGACGACACCTCCTGCTATTCTTTCCGAAAAAATTAGGAACGTCTCTATTCATAATCCATCTGTAATGTAATTTACTGCAGTTATAACGCATATTGCGGAGTATGTTCCATAATTTCACCAAATGGCTGGAATTTCGTCTTAACTTCAAGCGAAAATGGTGGAAATAATAAATCACCAAGCATGAACCGACATAATTTAATTGATCCCCATTACCTCACAATCTCATAAACTTTCAAGACCAATAAAAGTTCTGGAATTTCCCGAAAAAAAAACTAGGTGCTTGATTTTCGCGTTTATTATAGTGATTACGGATAATACGGAATTTTCGTTACAGTACCTCGAAATCACAATAATCCAGGCTTCTGATGGAATTTGTTTAATACTACAGATTAAAGTCTGGGATAAATGAAGGCATTAAACATTACATTTTATAAATTATAGACCGAGAAAAATTAACATGATGCATTTGGATGAACATGATACGCAGCCCCGAAATAAAATACGTTTCAGGTTTGTAAAGATCCTTTAGAGTTTAGATCATCAGAAGTGCAATGTTCGACTCATGCTGCATTTGGTGCGAGTTTTTAACATTTAACACGTGATTTCAAAAGAAAATTGAGTCACACTCAACAGGCCACGAATGAATTGGGAATTTACTTCCAGTGGTATCACCATTTTTTTAAGTTATGGAATTTTTGGACTGAATTGATGCTTCAAGAGCAGAGATAAAGCGTCTTTAGATGCGATACCAAAACCATCCATAGTTTATCGTTCTATTTGAGAAACATATTATGGTAGTGGAAGAAACTTGTCACGGAAAAAGAACGACACAATTGATTGATCTGTTGAACATTATTTTCTAACAAAGCGGGATTTCAGGTCATACCACGTGCGGTTGTGTGTGTGTGTGTGTGCTTTTCGTGTGTTGTTTCGCATTCATTATTGATTTCGGCCCGGATTTCGTCGTGGCTTACCGATCATTAATTTTTCCGACTCGTGAGAATGCCTCGGGTCCTCACGGGTAATTTATTAGCACGCCTTGACGTTGAATATCTGAGCACCCATTCGTCTTTTTCCCGCTTACCCTGCCAATTTCATGAATGAGGAATTAAGAGGGCGTTTTAGCATACGCCTCTTTGTTTGGGGGAGAAAAAGTACTTCAAACAGGTCAGTTTTATGAACCAAGAAGCGTAATTGGGAATGAGCTAACATTTCTAAATGATTCTTGACGGGTTTTCAAGTGTATCTTCGCATTTGCGAATTTAGGTTCAATTAATTATGTTCCTGCTGTTTGGAATAATGATAATAAGGCGGTTATATGTCGTGCAAAGTGATGAACAAAATTTGCGTGATGAATAAAACTAAATGTACTGTGCAGTGTTTTGGGTCTCAAAATACCCGTTCTTGTGATCGATTGTCTGCTTTCTCAACAAATCTAAAAATTCTGGACTGTCTGAACTGGCTAATATTGAATTTCAAAATGACCTATGTTCTAAAATTTTCAAGATTTAGAATATTTAGGATAAGGGATGGAAACAGGAAAAACGAGCATTAAACAGTCTATAAGCTCATGTGACAACCATTTTGACCTGATGAGACGTATAGCTTGTTTCTATAGATGCTCATTCATGATCAATTAAAGCACGATTTTCAAGTCATCATACTATTACGCAAATCTCGGTGGTAATCGCAAGAAAATTTTCCGAAATCGACATCAAGTAGCGCAAAGAAAGTCCACCAAACTGTGAAAGATCGTTGCGTGCAAATCAAGAATTCTCTTGAAAACTACTGTACCTGCACTATTTCAAGTGAAATTATCGTCAGTAATCCGCAAAAACGAGTTTGATACCAGAACATTATTGAGAAAAAAGGCTACTCCGACTCATCGCAATTAATTCGTGAAAAGTGCTTGACTTACGATACCTACTTGCCAATTTCTTCTTCGGATTTGATAATATTTTTCCACGGGGCGAAAGTCCCTAGAATTGCACAAGCTGTTCCTGTTTTTCTGGTCATATTACACCTTAGCCTTCTAAATCTATTGACTTTTCTTCACCTACACAATTGAATGACATTTTCATGAGAAAATGTGCAGGACAAAAAATGTTTTATGTGCTTGACTATATAACTGCAAATTTTTTTCTTCATTTCAAAGGGTTTCTTTCCACAAATATGAAGAATGCAGTTTGCGGAACAAAAGCCGATGAGAAGTGGTTCGCGTGCGTTTGCCGTCCGGTTGCGACAAACTGCGCAGAAATTTACCTCAGACTTTTTTTCTATTTCGCGAGGGACGCCGGGTGAGAAAAACGGCGACCCCGCGATTTCATGGCCTAGTGAATCCGCGGAAAAGCGCCGCAAAAAATAAAATAAATTGAGCAGAGACCCCTTTCTGCGCGTTTCTTCTTTGCACAGGCCGCGTTTTCCTGCTGTTTCGACACGCTGGGAAGTCGATGATCGCGTTCCGGCTGACAGGCACAAGTGCCAGTCAAACGTTCCCGGGTTCTCCGGGAATTTCTGCTAATTTCGTTTTTCGTGGAGTAAATGTTGAAGAATGCGTAACACAGAATTGCTTCAAGGAATGCGTGAGTTCTGAACCACGCGTAAAGGGTTCGAGATTTCGAGCCGGTTCTTCCTATAGGATGAGGCAATACTCTTTTCGCAAATTGACATCTTTGACATCATAAATTGACATTACTTACTTTACTCGTTGTTTCCGGAGGCTTCGCTGAAGCTCCAAGAAAATGACGAAGAAAATGGAGCTCAAATATGGCTTAGCACAAGTAGAGTATTGCGATGCATTGTTCTGCCAGCATCATGATATATTTTGCAATCGCGAGAAGTTGTAGACAGAAAATTAGCAGAAGTAATCCTAACCAATGTGTCTGGAAATGATTATGACTTCCTCAAAATAATTGCTCGCGTGGCTTCAAAATGCATATATATATAGTAGATTTGACAAAAGCTGAGCATGTCTAACTTCTGCACTTGTGCCAAGAATATGCCAATTTCCGAAGAATATGACGTTTTCTGGTCAAATATAATTGAACCTTCACTATATGCAAACTTCAATCGACTATTCGTTCGATTAACCTTTCCCACAGCATTCGTCGCCGGAAAGAAGTCAGTAAATATAATATTCGCGTCGTAAGTAATTTTATTCCCCGAACGTTTTCCAGAATCTTGCATGGAATTGATATAAATTGATTTCACGGCACGAATCGGAAAACGAGTACTGTAAATATTACTGAGAATAAAAAAGATTAAAGATACCGGTGCAAAAATACTGAAAGTGTATCTTGGCATGATGGAGAAACCTGAAGGAATAGTTTTAATATTTGCTTCTCACCAAATTTTGCGAAAAAAAACCCTTTCTTAGATTGGTGAAGATTTATTTAAGCCTCGAGTATTTCTGTATTAGTTACGAATCTTTAGATTTATAATTTTCTACTGAAAGACTACCCGGTCATGAACCATGTTTATATTAATTGAAAATTTACGACAAATATCACATCCCCAGCGGTGAACACAATTAAAAAAGAACCATTGAAATTTTGTTTACGAGAAGGACAGTTTTCGAGCAAAAAGAATACTTTATAGTGAAACAGCAAACATTTTCATGCACGGATTCCGCATGAGGTGCATGGCTGAAACCGGAACAGCGTTGTGCCAGTGTGATTACGTATGCCATGAATTTTGGCACGCAAGGTTGAGGCTAACTAGTGCTATTTGTATAACGCTCACACATGCGATTTAATCAATGTAAACATTTGATTTAAATTAAACAACTAATGAAAAAAGGCGGTGCTGTATTTTTCTCGCAGGTTTGTATACGTTTATGAGATGTATTTCGGGTCTTACTTGAAGTAACGAACTAACGACTTAATTATTTCAATCTGATTTATATACATCATCCTCGAAAACTCGATTGCCGATAACCAACGATCAAGACGGTTTATTCTTTTGTACACTGTGCGAGAGACATGATTATTTTTGACAGATTTTTATCAAGGTAATTGATGAATACGAAATGAGCTCAGTATTATATCCTACACATGCAACTTCGTCCCGTGTAATGAAAATTACGAATTTTGCGAGAATGACGTTTCTTTATTGTTTTGCACTTGCTGTCGAGATGTGTGTCATGTTTGCGTATTCTCGGAACGTGGTTGAAACTGCAAGTGGAGTATAGTAAAATACTATATGTTAAATATGTTTTACTTTGTTAGCCTTATATAATCAATATCAGCAACGTGATAAAAGACTTGCTTTTAGACAGAACACTACGGAAATAATAAGGCTCAGTTCAGAATAAGTTGGGAGTCATTTCAGAAAACGAAGTATTACTGCATTTTTAAGACACGCTTGAAGTATTTTTCTTTGTGTCTTTGAATTATAACAAGTATAGACCAGATATTTCAAATAAGACGATATATTAATAAATTTAAATAAAGTAATGCGATCATGTCCAAGGATATACCAATATACAGTACTGTATCAATATGTTGGATGAGAAGGCTATTATTTTTAACAATTAAACATGTACAGTATACTAAATTCACTTACGTACCATGTGCCCTTGAATAAGGCACGCACACCTCAATTGTTTGGCACAACATTTTGAGAAATATGTGGTCTGCACTCTTATGGATCCACAGAAATGTAATACAGTACTGCAAGAATATAGTAGTGTATATATAGAAGATTAAATTTAGACCTAAACTGAAACTTGAATTGAATTGCCTGTTAGGTCTTATTCTTTCATATCATCTTCTTTGATATCTTTTATATGCTAGGCTTTGGTTGCTTTACTTTTTGAATCAATTAAGCTTTGAAAATCTTGCAGAAGATTTAAAGTTTCTCTCATTTACTCACATATGATGCACACCTAAACTCTGAATATGGTTAAAAGTATTATACCCATCTATCACGTACATCCTGTTCATTTTTTTTC